TTGAAATCTCAGCAGTAAGGTCAGCTAAAGCTAATTTGGTACTGTGATGCTTACAAAACACACATCTGTTTATTTACTAAAGATTCAAACAATTTGCTAATAATGGGTAACACTGATACACACATACACACACACACACACACACACACACACACACACACACACACACACACACACACACACACACACACACACACACACACACACACATACAGACATACAGACACACTAACTGCAAAGACTCCCATTTTGTGCTTCGCACATGGGAGTCAAAAATTAGTTATAATTATAAGGCAAATTAGGTATAAATAATTATAGATTTTAACCTAAATTAATTAGGTCTTGGCATTGTCCCAAAACATTTATGTATACATTTTAATGCAGCTAAAAATAATTCTACCCTTAACAATGAAGCTGATGAACCGTGAGAACCAAAACAATTTAATCTGTGGTGATGCTGAAAAACAGGATTGTTCAAGATTATTCCAATGTAAGGGGAAGTATGTTCACCTCTAGTCGGTGCTGAGTCAGTACAGTTTATAGTGGACACTATTCTTCTTTCTTAAGAGACTTGCTGTATCATAAAGGTATACCCACTGAACCTGTATTTACTGGCTACAGTGTGATACCCAGCCAGTACACTATTCTTCTTTCTCAAGAGACTTGCTGTATCATGAAGGTATACACACTGAACCTGTATTTACTGGCTACGGTGTGATACACAGCCAGTAGTTTTATTTCCAACACATGTATTATATAAACTAACTTAGATCTTTTCCTCTAGTATCCCTACCAATATCCCTTCCTCCATCCATCCATAAGTGGCCGGTATTATTGATAATCACTGAACAGAGTACAACGTAGGGATCTGTCACTATTACAACAAGCGTGCACAAAACATACTATAGTTTAATGCAACATTGGACTATTCTTAGAACCTTTGACAACTAATAGCCAGCAGTGTTTGCTTTGGCACAGCCTGGTTTGCATGTGGTGTGCAACAAATCTGCTCTAAAATTCATAAGGGCACAGCCTACATTTAATGATTCTAGACATATTTGAAGCACATGGTCATAAAGGGATTGCACAAAAGTTACCAAGGAAAGAACTCATAATAAAATAACACATACTTGAGCAGGACAAATCGCTTCACACAGTTTACAAGCAATACATCTTTCTTCTCCACTCGGATAGCGTCTCAAAGCATGTTCTCCTCGGAAGCGAGGACTGAGGGGACCTTTCTCAAATGGATACTGTATGGTGGCTGGTTCACGGAACATATAACTCAGTGTCATTGCCAGACCTATATAAGAAAGAGACATGACTTTATATTAAAAGTAAACATGCTAACTCAAATTATTTAGCATTCAAACCTGTTCTGTCAGACTGTAAATAAGTGCTTATACATGTAAGTCTAGTATGTCTTTTTTGAGATTATATCTGTTGGTTTCCTATGTTTTCACAATATTGAAGATAGATGATCGTCTGAGTTGCTAATCATTATACCAGTGAGTCTCCAATACAAACAATTACACAAAATTATATAAAATACTAACACTGTTAGATGGATCAGTACAACTTTTGTTGAAGCTCAAAAAGTATATACTCGGTATTGTAAATGCATTTATTATTCACTGGGTTTTAATGGCTATTTTCTCTGATAAGAAAAATTCGCTAAATTAAATCTATGTGAACATGTGAAATAACAATAAAACTCATTGCTTCCTTGACAAATTCTTGGAATTAAAACACAGTGAATATGCTCAAAACATCAAAATAGTGAAAATAAATGGTTTAACAGTAATAACACTTTTGAATCATGTTACGATGCACATGCATTCTCAACGATTCACAGACAATGTGCTTTCTATAATTATAACACCAATATACATTGATGCAATGGGGCCACTATTCTGAGAGCCTGCCTGTAAATCTGATGGGTTGATCGCAACACTGAAGAAATCCAACCTTGACTAATATAATCCTTTAAGTTTTATTGTCAATCTGTTATGCACATTTACTATTTCCGTTGTTAATTAACATGGTAAACATAACAAACAGAATTGGCACTTGCTAGCAGATTTAAATGAAGTGTGAAGCTTGGTTTCTGTTGCATTCAAAAGTTGAAAGCTAATAAACATGACAACGTAGTGGACTAGAATTATCGAGAAAACACAAGTCAAGTTTGGCCAACCGAGACTGCTTGAAATCAATGACAAACTTGAGAAGTAAAGTAATTCACTATCAATGAAACTATCATCATTTTTAAAGTGAAGTAAAAGTAATACCCAAGGGTGTCAGAGAAATGACAACATTTGTGACAAACCTACATAGTTGACCATGGAAGGAAGTTTATCGGTAAATCGAACCTTGAACCAGAGACGCATTTTTCTAATCAGCTATTTATTTCCTTACTAATTAAAATTTAGCTAGCACAATTAACTTCCATTTTGAGGAGGAAAATAAATAACAGACTCCGACTGAGATTGATAATTCTTAAAGGCAGCCATGTTTTTTTACTGTTGACATGAGGTATGCAAATTTTACCAGTATTTGCATGAAGCTATTAAGGGAGTATTAAAACAAAGCATTAGGGAAGAGGTAAAATTCATGTAATTCTCAATTTTAATGATGATTTCATAGTTTAATTTTATTTTCAAAACTCCAGATATGAATTGTATAATTGGAACCAATTTAACAATATTAATTAACTAATTTATTTTTGGCAATATATTTCATTTTAATTAACTAAATGTGTTTCACTATATACAGTAAATCTTGTTTATTTAAAAAAATACAACCATATATTATGTTAATTATATGCAAATTAGACGCAACCCTGAGACAATTTTCTGGGGAGAATCCGTGATGCCATTGTGTGCTTTCTATGATTGTCACCACCAATGTACATTGATGTCATGGTGTGCTTTCCATGATTATCATCACCAACGCACGGTACGAGGTTTTACCCAGAATTCAACACGTTCTGTACCAACGCATATTGCTATGCGCAGAACTGAAATTCTGGCATCGTTCTGCGCAAAAATCGTTTTTAGCGCTTGAGTTGTTTCCGGGTTAGCCTTCCATGTGCTTATCGTGCGATTTATTGTACCAATATCACATTTTCTGGACGTATTCCTACACAATCATGCTAAGAGTGTCCAAAAGAGTCAAGCAGGCAAGTTTAGCCGCAAAATTACGTGGGAAATTGGCTTCAACTGCTCACTCGATCGCCGATGTTGTCCGTCGGCACACAAGGTCGTTCGCTTTCTGATCTTTCTTCCGAGATTTTGACTCGAATATTCGGGTTTTGTTGCTTTTTTAATGACAGTGATGACTACAGTTCACAGTTCGAGAAAGTTAAAACGATGTGCTCACTTCGAATGGTTTGTAGGCGATTTTATGCTATCGCGTCGAATGATTTGTTCGTTATGGGAATGACGGCAAGCTCTATTGCCAGCCGTGCTTTTTCACAGATTTAAGCTGATGAAGGCGAGATCGCTCGTTGCTAATGAAATAGGGCAACTTTCCGATTTGATCATTCAAAAAGGGCCATCTCAAGTAAGACAAGTGGTGAGAAATTTGCTGGAAAATTTAAAGGGTCACGAATGGGATGATTCAAAGAAATATTTGGAAGTCTCTCTTGCAGTTCTATTTAGCACGAAAAGATCAGCAATTTCTAAGAAAGCCACTGGGAGTCGA